AGAGTATGGTGCCAAGCCAGGATCCAACCCCACCTCTAATTCCTAAGTCCATGCTCTATAACCTACAGCATCCGATATATCAAAATACCCTGGTATACAATTGTACTACTGTTCAAAACAAAATTAAAGATATTGCAGACAAATTTTGCTTTTTAAAATAGATATATTTTTATTGATTTCAGAGAGGAAGGAAGAGGGAGAGAGAGATAGAAACATCAATGATGAAGGAAATCACTGATCAGCTGCCTCCTGCATGCCTCCCACTGGGGATTGAGCCTGCGACCCGGGCAAGTGCCCTGACTGGGAATTGAACCCGGGACCTTTCAGTCCTCAGGCCAATGTTTTATCCACTGAGCCAAAACCAGCTAGGGTAGATCTCTCGATCTCTCTCTCTCTCTCTCTCGATTTCAGAGAGGAAGGGAGAGGGATATAGAGATAGAAAACATCAATGATGATAGAGAATCATTGATGGCTACCTCCTGCCCCCAGAACAAAACAACTCTGAGGAAGGTGGCACTATTCTTACCTTCTATACGAGGAAACCGAGGCTCAGAGAACTTGAGTAATTTCTCAAAGGCCTACAGCTGGTGAGAGTATGCACAGCAGAGGTTTGAACCCATGCAGGTGAATGTCTACGCTGGCTCTCCTTGTTCTGAGGTTGTGAAATAAACTCACCTCTTACCAAGGCACACAAACCAAACTAAGGAGGGATCAGCACAGCAGAAGTGAGCTAAGATTCTGCTTTTTGCTGCTTGTGCTTCGGGGCTGGCCTGTCAGATGAAACCATCAGGTTTTGTTTTCAGCAGTCGGGACTTACATTGGAAGTGGTGTAAAGTGGGACAATGAAATGAAGACGTTTTAACAAGATCATTGTTAATGGTTTTTCAGCTCATGGCACACAAAAACTCATTACTAAAATTCTGCAGCATGCCAAAAAATAGAGGTTTTGCTGATCTGACAAAACCAAACAAACTATAATTTTGACTCATTCACACCGAACAGCTATTGTTGTGTTGGCTGTTGTAATTTTTTTTTAATTTAATAATCTAAGGGAAAAGAGGTCAGTGCCCCTGACTAAACAGTCAGGCATCACATGTTTTAAAAATTCCTGCGGCACACCAGTGTGCCTCTTGCAGTACACCGTTGAAAATCACGGGCCTAGGAAGTAAAGAAACAATATATTCTTTTCCTGTATGGGTTTTTACATTAAAAAGAACTTTCACTTATTCTATCACATTTAGTCCTCTCAACAACAATGAGAAGTGATTATTTCTATTTCACTGACGAGGAAATTAAAGCTATGAGAGTCTAATAAGCAAACAGTTACAGAAGCAGGCTTTTCATCAAGAATCTCTTGCTTCTTTCCCACACATTTTTCCACTGGCCCCTCCTGGGACTAAAAATGGAAAACAAGAACTGTTATATATAGAAATATTTATAAACAAACATTTCTGTCTTCACAAGTTTGTGCAAGGCATGCCAGCAGACTCCCAAGATAAGTCATAGACCCCTACTGTGTGAGCTACGAAATAAAGGCCTGAACTCTATCCCATCTTCGTGTACATGCATGCTCTGCTCAGTGTCCAAGACAGGCATGACAGCACAGTCCTCAAAGGTCAGGGAGGCAAGCTCTGAGCATGCTCTTAGCCTTGGTTTCTGGTTGGTCTGTTCTGTGTTGGTGGCAGCAGCATTCTGCCACACCTTAGCCCTTCCGTTATCATCAACACCCTTAGTATTGCTTACTTGGCTTATTAGCCTCAAGTCATCCAAAATACCTCAGTTTATGAAAACTAGCAGCGCCAAGTTCCAACATATGAATAAATGCCTGGGAAGGGCCAGTGATAAATCTCCCTTTTTTAGAGCAAGGTCAAATGCAGGAATATTGTTGTGGAAGAAAGAGTGCCTCTGAGCAGCCCATGCTTAAATTTATTTGGGGCATTTCAGCCCATACACTGACCTTGCTATGACAATCTAAAGCATGTAAATACTGAAGGCGATAAATACAAGAGCTATCCCTTAGAAATGTACTGCAAACAATACCCATGTGTCTGTGTGTTTTATTCCTTTCCTACACATTTAGATTATGTGTGTAACTTCCATTTCTCATCGAAAGTAAAATTCAGGAATTTTCAGAAATAAAGTCATCTTAATTTTCTGACGTAGGAATTCATAGAGACTAGAAAAGCTGATTCAGTATGTTAAATCCAAAAAGACTAATTTCTTCTTAATCATGAGTTCCCCTTGCTCAAAATCTGAATACACGGAAATGCACGTTTAAGTATCTTATAAGAATCAAGAATGAGAACAGAAAAAGCTGGTAAACTTGTTGGCAAGTTACTGTTACAGTGTCCTAGGAAATATAAAGAAACATCAGCGAGGGTAATTTTAAGCTTTAAAAACGCACCCCCGCCCAGCCAGTGTTGCTCAGTGCTTAAGCCTCAACCCATGTACCAGGAGGTCGCCAGTGCAATTCCCAGTCAGGACACATGTTTGGGTTTCAGGCTTGATCCCCAGCAGGGGGCGTGCAGGAGGCAGAAACTGAGGATGTTTTTCTCTCATCAATGTTTCTCTCTCTCTCTTTTTTCTTCTCCCTCTAAAATCAATAAAAATATGTTAAAAACACATTCCCCTGCCTGCAAAGAAGGGTGGATATCCTATATAATAAAAGGCAAATATGCAAATAGACTGAACGGCAGAACAACCGAACAACCGGTCACTATGACAGGCGCTGACCACCACATGCATGTGCGGAACATGGCGGGCACTGGCAGCAGCAGGATGGTGGAGCAGGTGAGCAGGGGGCACCAGACCAAGGCAGGGCGCCAGTCGCTGCCATCGGGGCAAAGCCTCTGGTGGTTACTGAAAATTCTTTGCTCCTGTGCACCGCAGTCCCGCCCGGCGCTCACAACTGCTGTCAGCGCTGGCCCCACTCATACCCACTGCCAGTGCCAGCCCTGCTTGCACCCGCTGCTGGTGCCTGGCACCAGTCCCGATCACTCAGCGCCATCAGCGGGTGCAAGCATTGGCTGCCAGCCCTGATCGCCCCCGAGGGCTTTTCCACCTCCCCCTGCTCCTGAGGGGCCACTTGCACCCACTGCTGGTACCGGTTCCAATCGCTCCGTGCCATCAGCGGGTGTGAGTGGGGCTGGCTGCCATCAGCATGTGGGAATGACAGTGGCAGGAGGGGGGCTGCCAGA